TTCCTGGATCATCAGTGATGCATGAACAGCTTCCAAATTAAAACTCTGGTATTTATTACAATCCATCTGCAGTTATCTTATTTTGAAACTTAATAAAAATAAATGTTTTATTACACGACAACACGTAAACTTAAAAGAATTAAAAGTCACCTACTGTTTGTGTTTTCTGCCTTGAGGATTTATCAGCCCATTGACACACGTTAAAAATAAATACATGCGGTGTTTCAAACCTCTGGGCAGATGTGCCTGCATGAGCACATGTATCAATCGTCACGTAGAAATCTAACAAAAATGCAAAAAAATTAACTAAAAGTCAAAACAGTAAAAAAGTTCTTGGGCAAAAGATGCGTTAATTCCATAGACATATTGACACTGGAAAACAGTGAGCAGCTGCTTTCTAAGGTTTTGTACTTTTTGTGAACCAATTAAAAAATATTTTATGTAAATTGCTGCTAAAGATGTAAAGAATAAAATAAAACAGGACGATTTTAGGAACAATGTCCAATAACTGCAGATAATGATAAAAGTTTGGAGAGGGAGGGGGGCGCGTATGCTGCTTATCATTGTAGTATAAGTTGAAAGTAATGTCTTTAAATTACACGTACTGTCTATTTTGACCAAGCTGAGTGAACATCTGGTGCATTTTAATCATGGAAGATGCTGCAGACTTGATCATAAATGGTTTTAAAAATTCAGATCTGAAACTTCAGCACTGGGTTAAAAATGAAAGAGTCGGTGACATGACTCATTCTGGAGTTTTTGTTTTGTCTATGTTGATCAGTACAGAAGAATTAGATCCAAAAACCTGAAGCAGAGAGAACACACGGTGCGCTTGCACCCCCGTGTGGTCAGAGTGTGTAACTGCAGACAGACAGCCTTGAATCCTCTCCAGTCAAAGATCTCAAGAGTAAAACATTGTTGTTGTTTTAATTCCATCCTTTTCCTTGACCATTTTTTTCTACTTAAATAAAATATTCAGTCTTTTTTATGTCAAAAGAAGAACAGGAGTTTTAGAAGTGTGTGCTTCAATCATCACGAAATTAACTAAATTTGTGAAAACTCTGAACATGTCAGACAACTCACAGATACCACACCATTTTTTATTCCAATATTGGTAAAATTGGCTAAATAGCTATTTTTCTGTTTCCTAAAGTCAGCTGGCTGTGGCAGCCATCTTGAATTGTGCTGACTCCAAACGGTGCATCGATCA